ATTATATCAACTGTTTAATTATTTTTTAATAATTACTATTGTTCGTTTCTTGTTGACTTGAATGAATTCCTTATGTCTTCTATTTATCCTTTTGCTAGTTCGGGATGCTACAAATATTCTCAGCGAATCTATCACCTGGCTACTAACTTTGTCTAAAGTATTTGTCATTAAATAGAAATCCTCAATTTTGTAATCACATTTTTGGGTCATATGCTTTGCGTAATTTGGAGTCTTGTTTCAGAAAACTTTTTCCTCTCCAATATCACAGAAGCATTCTATCATTTCCTCTTGGATTTCGTTTCAGGTTTCAAGCCCTGCTGATCCTGGGATTAGAGTTTTTGGACTTCCCTGAACTATGGGATCACTCAGGCTTGGTCCGTATGTGCAGGTCACTTGGTTACCAGGTCTCTGGAGTAGATTCAGAATACAGAGCAGGTCGGCAGAGATTGTATCAGTCAGAGGCAGAAAGAAGGGCTGACCTCTATCACCCTGGAGGCATGTAAACCAAGGGGTGGGGGCAGAGGAGCTGGGACTTCAGGGAAGGAGGTAGGGAGGCAGATAGGAGAGAGGAGGCCATTCCAAGGAGGGAGGTTACAGTAGGGTGAGCAGAGTGTGGAGAAGTGGAAGGCAGAAGGGACAGGGTGGAGACTTGTCCAAGGAAGCAGAGGACAAGCACTGGGGAGACTGGAGGGCTTGAAGCCAAGCAGAGGCACGGGGATGTGATCAGACACACAGCAGATATGCATCATTAATGTGTGTGTGTGTGTGTGCATGCGCACATGCGTGGGGAGTGGAGACGAACAGGAAAGTAGGGAGATGAGGGTGACAGCGGGGACGGAAAGGCTCTTCTTGAAAGGGGTGAGGACCACTCCCCTGTCAGGTAGTAGGGATTACTGTGCAAGGGAAGAGACAAAGGCAGGTGTTTGTAATCTGGAAAATGAAGCACATAAGTGAGCCCCTGCATTTTCTGGCCTCGGGTTCTGAAAAAGCCGGATCCCTCTGTGGTGTGCTGCTGCAGCAGGGCTCCCTTGAGTGTGACTGGGGATTTGGGAATGCCGCCCCAGTGCAGAGTAACAGACACTTCGCAAGAGCTTGACAAATGTTTAATGGATAAATGTGGGCGTGAAGGCAATAATCGGGAGGAAACATTCTCTGGGCAGCTGGGATACAAACCAAGGGTAGGAGGTTGATATTGTCCCACCCCACACCCCTCTCCAGCACTCACTGGGAGAAGCAAGAAAAGAGTAAAGGTGACAGAGAAGGAACAATCGGCAAGGTAGGAAAATAAGGAAAATTAATATCTTGGAATCTTTGAGTTTGGCGAGGATTCATGGCATCATCAAGTGTCACAGCAATCACCTGATGGTCTCTGGCAGGTTTTTGGAGAGCAGAGCACAAGGACACAGAGTTTTATGATATTCATTGATGCGGGGAGGGTATAAGGGCACCTGCCATGTGACAATGGGGGAGGACAAGGCTGGTTTTCTGTGGCAGGAGAACATGAACCAGGAAGTGGGTCTCAGAGCTGAGAGCAGGCCCACCCCGGGGGGGGGGGTGCGGGCGAGGGGAGTCAGCACATGACTCTGGTCCAACCTAGAAGGCTGAGGCCACCTGGGCATGGGACCTGAGATCATAGGGGACTGGGAATTAATTGGGTCTTAGGAAACCAAGAGAAATTTAGCTATCTTTCGAAAGAGCTTCAAGGTACCTGGCCTCCCTCTCAATGGGAATAGATTGAAGGGTCGTGTCTCAGTTTACCTTCTAAAGCGACAAAGTCAACATGTGCAGCCATTAAGCAATCTTAAAAAAAGATAGCCGATGAGTCACGAACTATTTGGATTTAGCTTATTCCAGCATATTTTATTTAGCTTTTATGATCCATTTACCAAACCCTTGCTGCGTGCCTAGAGGAGGGCTGCCGTGAACAGGTCTGTCTGGGCCTGGCACCAAGTGACGGCGTGATCATAAAGTAGGACTGAGCTAGGCAGGAAGCACATGGCTCCTCATTCTGTCAGCTTGCTAAGAGATTACTGGTCATCATCTTCTCCACGCAGCTATCAAATGTCTAATTCCACCCATCTGACTCCTAGAAAGAGGCTACGTCATTTGGGAAGACAATAGCTATACCACCAGGTGGGGGGACAGGGTGATCTGCTCATTTCCAAGGTCTAGCACACAGTGTATGTACAGTCTCTGGTTGGGATTTCAAGAAAAACAGAAGGCAGCTCAGGCTCCTCTGAAAAGAGTCAGTGAAGTCCTAGCAAGGCAGTCCGTCTGTTTCTAAGGCCTCAAGGTGTTTGGCTGTGCAGCTTCTGTGGAATAAAGCACTGAGCTCCAGTTATCTTTAAACTCATTGATTTCTCATCATGTTTGCAGTTCCCCAAAGGTTTTTTTTTTAAGGGGCTATGGGGTCATGCTGGGATTTTTCTGGTAGCCTGGTTATAGGCTTATGTAATGAAAGCTCAGGATTGTGCACCAGTGCGCTCTGTCCCCAGCAGCAGTGGATGTGCTGTTCTGGCTCACTCAAAGCTGTCCCAGCTTTGTCAGAACGAGCAGGCATGGGCTGAAGCAAGGTTGACAGCATGGTGCATGAAGCTTCTCCCATCCCCAGAGCCTAGCTATGCTGAGATATTGTTAATTCAAACTGCCAGAGGACTTTGCTTTGCAATTATATACATAATGCAAGTTTAAATGAGAGTCTATGGGTGGTATTGATAGGAATTCAGATAGGAGTTGGTTGAATAAAAACCACAGGCTTTGTTTATCTGGTTCTTGAAGGTTCCTTGAACTATTTGAAGGTCCAAGTACCATAGTGTTTGTAGAGAAATCTTAAAATATGAAGAGGCAGCTTGGTTAGGGCTTCCTGGGTTACAGCCATTTGGAATAAAACATAGCTACAAACTCACCAATATATGACTGGGAGGTTTGGTGGCCTGAGAACTTGGATTAGGCTGAGAAAGGCAAGTGAAAAGAACTTCCTTGAATTTGCTCACACATCCTTTCAAAAATCCACTGAAATGGGAAAGGATGTTCACTCCATTGCTGTGGACATTTCTGGAGAAGACACTATGCCATCCTCTACCCCCGTATCCTCTTAATTTTGAAAATTCCTGAAACAAATCATCTGAGTACTTTGATTTGGTGTTAATTTTTTTTCTGTAAGGCAACAAGCCAGGACTAAATGGCTTATTAAAAAAATGTCATTTTGAAAGAATTTGTTTATAGCTCATCTAGGAAGTATGGGCTAAACTTGTGTAAGGAGCTATGTCCTGCCAAACTGGACACATTGAGCACCACTATGGGAGGAGTGGGAGGGGAATGTCAGAGTGGCCGGAGCTCCAGGAGATGTAGCAACTGTCTTTGTAGAACACGAGGTGCAGTCTGATTTAAGAACTGATTTCTCACCCAGATGGAGTCCCAATGTCAGGAATAGCTTTCTATGGTAGTAAATCATACATTACTGCACTTTATTTGCTGAATTATCAGTTATGCCACAGGGCAGTTCATGTAATTATCTTGTGCTAGACTAGCATTCATGATGTTCCTGCTTCCTGGGAAATTAGCCCCTGGAAAAGTCTTGGGTCAATAATAGCTATTTCCCCTATTAACACTTAAACCTCAAAGTCAATTACCTACCAGGAGAATGCACGCCACGAATCAGAAATATACACCAAATTTAAAAGCCTAATAACATCCATTCTTGATTAGCATATACTCTGTAAAGAATCATATTGGCAGAAAAGACTCTAAGTCAAATGAATGATTTTTGTTTTATGAATTCTCTTCCATAAACAATGGCCCAGTGGATTGACTTTGCTATTCCATCTGATCAATTTTTTTTAATGTACCTAAGAACATAAACATGTCAGAAAGAAAAGCGACCAGAAATGAGGCTGGTGTGAGAAGAAATTGCTGATTATGATGACTGTCAGATTTTCCATGCTACACAGACCGGGTGGCCACAGCCAGCGCCTTTGGGGGGCTCCCCTCCTCAGCCGTTATTTGTGCTGTAGTGATTGCCGGAAACTCAGGGACCTCTGAGTGATCAGCAATGACTGGAATGAAGGGACTTGGGGAAAGGAGGTGGGCTGTGGAGCACAACCCTGGGGAACAAGCATATTTCTGCACAAATAACAACTCCAGCATAATCCTTCAAGTAGTGCATCCGAGTGCAACAAGCTTTCCAAGACAAATGACTCATCAGAAGGAGTGAGGTCACCACTAGAGATTACCAAAGGTTTATTTGGAATGAAATGGCACTGGAGACATAATTATTACAGATGATTTGGGGATACAGCATACATCACCTATTTTATTTTAGGACATCTGTGAAGGTGAATTGCATAAATATAAAGAAGTGGAAATATATAGGAGCTTTTCTCTTTTGTAGTGTTCTGTTGGGGTGGATTTATATGCCCCATCATCTCGCCATTCTCAGAAAGGCAGAAGTGAAGACTATATAGCTGCTTATCCTGACTGACCTACCTTCAGCGATAGCAGCCGAACACCTAGATAATCAGGCTTTACTTTCTCCAAAGGGGAAGCAGCTCTGACATGCGATCTGTAACTGCATCCTGAAAAACGCACATTACAAACACAGATACTATCGATGGTTTTGGCAATGGGATGGTTGGTTTTGCCCTGAGGCAAAACTGGGAACTGTGATGCCAGACAGATAAGAGCGATGCATGTATATCAATCAATGACGCTTGAGAGGCAAAGAGCTACCATGGAAAGAAAAGAAAGCAACTATGTATATGTAGTTTTGTGCATACACATAGCTCCAGGAGCAATGGGATCTAGCCTGGGTGACTGTGTGTCTGTATATATATATGTATATATAGAGAGAGGTGTGTTGGAAAAGAACATTGAAAACTTTTGCAGCAGTTTAGTTTTAAACACAGTAAACTTGACAGGGAGAGAGAGCCAACACGTGCTCACACCTGTGCAGGGGAGTAAGATAATCTCACACTACAGGGTAATTGATCACATCTTCTGCAGGGCAGCCATTCAATACCATACACTTGGTGCAGAGAAATCAAGGTTCTGGTATGGAAAAAGCTACTTTAGAATTGATGGGTGGGGATCAAGTACAAGAGTCTCCACAGGTTGGACAAAGCACAAACAAACCTGTCATCAATAATGTGGAAACCAGTGAGGGCATTTTCCTTAATTTACTTTTTTCTCTGACATTTTTTTGCACACATGCTCCATTGATATATCTTCTCAAGCTTTGTCTGGCATCAGCCTGTAAATCATCAAGAGTGTAATAGCAAAAGTGAGTGCTTCAGGTTTTCATGAAGGTTTAAAAACCTAGAATACTTTGGCCCTAATCCAGGCGCCGGGTGAAGTTCTCTGGAAAGAGACCTTTGTAGGTGGCAAGGTCTCTGTACTGAAGCCAGTCAGATTCTTTCACTCCTACCAGCCAGCCTGCATCCTGCAAGACAAAGACAAGGCTGTCAAGGTCCAATCAACTACTGGAAAAATCTGCATGGCCAACAATAAAATAATAGCCTTTATTAGTGTCATGGTCCTGCACCAGGATGTTACATTACATGTAAACCAGTGTGGTGAGATCAATGGGAAGTAATATTCTGAATAAGTTGTTAGTTAAAAAAAAGTACACACACACATGCATGCATTTGAATATGTATATTGAAATTATTTATTTTCTATATAAAGTATAATACATCAAAGGTTAACAGTAATATTATAACTTTGTATAAAGTATAGTTAATTGACACTAACTGAATTATGACATGAGTCCTTAAGGAAAAGAAAAGGATTAGAATTATGGCCACTGCAAAGAGAGGACACCATGTAAAAGCACGTCATGCTCAGGAACATTCCCTATTCTGTGGGTCAGAGGGAAAAAAGGCTTGAGGACCCCAGGTCAGAATACAGTGCTGACAGACAGGGCCTGGGGAAAGCTGCTATTTCATCCTGAACCACTGGCTTTTAAGAAAGAACGCTATCTCCCAGCACACATCACGTAACCCCAATAAACCACCCTCTACAAGGCTTATCAAATAATAACAGCTAGATGTATATGTATTATGATATTGCTGCTGTGTTTGCTGTCACTGTTATAAATATAATTTTTCAAGTTTATATAAACTACAAAGCAGTTTGTTAGCATGACATTTTTGTTGGACACATTCATATATTCTTTATAAATTATTCCTCATAAACATTCGTCTGTCCCATAGGAGTGCCATCATAAAAAGGAAGACATTTAGCCAGAGAAGGTAAAAGAACCTGCATGTGCGTGGTCACAGAAGACAATATGTAAAACTGAAAGGCAGAGGCTGCTGCCTGCCCTTGGCTTACTGAAGATAAACACAATCTAGCTGGAAAAAGCTGAGCTAAAGGAACAATATAAAACATACAGACTGTATGAAGCAAAACTAGTGGGAAATGACTATTTTGTTAACCAATACGGAAAAGAGAGCCTGCGAAAGATGAGAGATGGCCAGATTTAATCTGAACCTATTCCCAATATAGTTCAAGTACATCAGATAAAATGAGGTCTCATGAACTAAATACAAAAGCTGAATACATTCCCTTTTGATATAATCTGAGACTATAAATTGATGCTGCTATATAGATAAGAAATAAAAGCATTTAGACAGGCCAATTTTTGAAGACAGAAAAGAAATCACTGAGAAAAAGATGACTCAATAAAATAACTGATAATATCCTAGGTGACGAGGAAAAGTGTCCCCTTTAAAATAATGATGTTATATATGTGAAGGACAAAGTTATATTTAAAGGAAAAGATGATAACTAAATTTTCTAAACCTCTTTTTATGGCATATAAAAGGCCATATTTTCCCCACAAGTGTCTATATTTGACTTTATTTACAGTGAGGGAAAAATCTAATGAAGTCACGCAGAGTCATGCATTTTTAAATTGTTTCAATAAAGAAAAAAATAAAGGCCTGGCACAAACTCATAATCAAGATATAATCAAACACATATACTTTAAATACAATTTATATAGTATATATATGTACTATAATATAGTATAATAGAGTGAAGAGTATTAGCCAATATCAATCTTTAGCTGAGGCAAATAAAGAAAATTAAATTTTAACTGCTTAAACTTTGTGTTAGACTAAAGATTTGCAGCTTTGGTAATGGCAAAATAACTTGTATCAGACAAATGTTTCATATATACATACATATGTAATATACACATATGTACATGCACATCTGGTATACATGTCATTATATTTATATATGTTACATATAACATATATATATGCAACTATTTATATATAGAAATGACTATTTGTAATAAAATATAGGATACAAAATATAAGTTTATATAATGGGGTTGCTATAAGTACTGGGTTGTATATACACCACAACTATTTGAAGGCACGAACAACCAAAAGCAGGCAGAAACAGGAGACAATTAATCCCTGAAAGTGGGGGCCTGTGTTGCCAAGATTTGTGCTGATACAGCTCCCCCTTCAGGACTATCCTCAGTATAAAGTATTATACTTTATATAGAAAATAAATAATTTCAATATATATATTCAAATGCATACATGTATGTGTGTACTTTTTTTTAACTAACAACTTATTCAGAATATGACTTCCCATGCAGGACATTCAGAGGACAGAGTGGGGTGCTGCCACAGCAGCTAGACATTTATGGGGGATATGCTGTAAAGGAGAAAGCTACGGAGAGGGATCTCCAAATAAGCAGAGAAATTTCTCTGAAATCCTGAGCTTCCCCTCAAGCTGTGACTACACAAGGGATAGCCAAGGAGCCTGGGGAAAGAAACAGTAGGAAGGCAGAAAAAGCTGAATAGAGATTTAAACACTGTCAATGGAGGGGAGGCAGAGTTTAGAGTGAATCCTACCAAGCTAGGGGGCTTGATAAACCCTTCAGGATTTCTACTGAAATCCTAAAAGCACCATGTCTTAGAGGTAGATAATGTGCAGGCACTAAGAATTTATCCTAAGAGTAAATGCAAAATAGAAACAAACCCACACTAACATAGTATAAAACAAACTTCCATGAATTCAAAGTAATTATTTAGTACTTTAAATGTCAGTGAGAAGAAAAAGAAGCAATCTTCAGAGATAGAAAATAGAATCCAGACTCTCTACAATATGTTACCCAATGTGTCCAGGATCAATAAAAAGAAAAATTGCTAGATGTGAGAAAAAAAAGGAAAATGTGACCCAAAGATGAGAGACATTCAATATAAGTGTGCCCTGAGATGGCCCAGATTTTAGAATTAGCAGCAAGAAATTTAAAGCAGCTATTATAAATATGTTCAAGTACTTAAACTGAAAGATGGTAATGAGAATAGATGAGAAATTTCACTAAATACATGGAAACTATATAAAAGAACATGAACTTATAGCACTGTGTAAGTATAATATCTGAAATGTAAAAAGTCACTGGATAAGTTCAACAACAAATTCAAAGTAGTGGAAGGAAGGGTCACTATACTTGAAAACAAATCATTAGAAATTATCCAACCTGGGTATCAGAGAGAAACAAATATTTAACAAAAAAGAACACAGTCTTAGACATCAAAAAATCCAACATATAAATAACTGGAGACAGGAAAAGAGGAGAAAGAGAACAAGGCAGAGAAAAAATTTAAGAAATATTAGTAGAAAGTCTTCCAAATGCAGTGAAAAACCTCAAGTTACAAATCTAAGCTGTTTGGTGAACAAACCCCTAGCATGAAAACCACACACACACACAAAAAAGATCTATGCACATGATAGGTGAACCGATGAAAACCAAAAGCACAGAGAAATTCTTAAAAAGCAGTCAGGGAGGATGTCACATTGTGTACTCTGAAATAATGTTAAACAAATGACAGCTGATTCTAATTATAAGCAATAGAAAACAGAAAACAATGGAATATCTTTGAAGAGTTGAAAGAAAAATCATGGAATTCTTTCCCTAGGGAAAATATCTTTACAAATGAAGATGAATAAACACATTGTCAATAAACAAAAGCCTATAGAAAGCTGAGGGGGAAAAAAAACTAGAGCATGTATTGCCAGCAGAGCAACACTCCAGGAATTGGCAAACAAAACTTTTAAGGCAGAAAGGAAGTGAGACCACATGGACACTCAGACCTACAGGAAGAGAGGAAGTGCCTGGGAAATGGTAAACATGTTGGTAATACACAAGACTAGCCTTTGTTTCTCTTAATTTCTTTAAAAGACAACTTATGTTAATGCAAGAAATATAAATTTACATGATGGGGTTTTTAATGATTTTGAGATATGCAGACACTTTTGCCTCACATTGGTAATTTATGCGTTGCCACTTTTTTTCCTTGGAGAGAATATCTAAGGTTTTAACAGTTTTATTAAGCCTTCCAAAGAACTTTTTTTTCTGTTTTCTATTTCTATTCTATTCTATTTCAAAAAACTAAACTAATTTTCTCCATTGTCTTTTCATTACATTCATTTGTGAACTTATTTTTGTTCCTCCTTCCCTTCTATGTACTTGGTATTTAATTTGATCTCATTTTATCCTCTTAGGCTGAAAACTTAGACATCAGTGATCACTATGAAATTTTTTTACTTACATTGTGATTTCTTTGATCCATAGATTATTTAGAAGTATGTTTTTCAAATTTTTAAGTATTTGGGGCTTTTAAAGATATATTATTATTATTAATTTCTATTTTAATTTTATTGTGGTAGAGACTCTTTGTTTGACCCAGCACCTGGTCTATCTTGGTAAGTGTATTAAGAGAAAGGATAAAATGTGGGACATGGGAAACCTTAATCTCAAAAGTAATGACTTTATTTGGGGGAAAAGAGCTGAGAAATCTCCTTGAGAATATCATGGCAGTTACAGCTCTCTTCGCCAGATAAACATGTTAACAGGCACATTTACACATTTTGCATGTCATTTCAGAGGATCACAAATCTGATAAACAGGAACAAAATGGAGTTCTCAGCACCTTGACATCAGACCACTATGCTCCAAGGTGATTTTTAAAAGAGAATCTCTTAAAATTGAGGTATAATTTAAATAGTGTGTAATGCCAAGTCACTAAGTATACAGTTCAGTGAATTTTAACAAATGCATACACGTGTGTAACCCACATCATTATCAAGATACATGATTGTATACACACGTCAGAATTTACTGAGCTTTACATTAAGATTTGAACATTTGATGGTAACGTGCCTCAATAAAAAAATAAATTATAAAACTTAAATAAAACAATTCCATCCCCAGAAAGCTCCCTCATGATCTTTCTTGGTCAATCCTCACACACTAAGAGGCAACCAATTTTTAAGGGAATTTTTAGTGCACATGGATAGTGTCTGCATTTCCTAAGGACTGGTGGTTCAGAGACAAGATACCTAGAAAGTGGATGCATAATAAGAAATGGTCATCATCTATTTGCATAAAAAAGAAACACTCTAACAGCATTCCAAAAAGGTGTCCTGAAAACCTACAGTTAGTGATGTGCTTTATCATATTATGCCTTTAGGCCTTTTCAGGACTGCCTTGCAGCATCTCAGAAAATAGAAACATCTTTAGGAAGTCACTGCGTCCAGCTGACCCTCAGGAAAAAACAGTGTAAGCTGTAAGTGCCTTTCAGTCTCAGACTTTACCTGGTCGGCTTCTGAATCTGAGGGGACCACCAGCACCACATCGCCCCTTTGTAAGGTCAGTTCATCTGAGTTTGCTGCCTCGAAGTCGTGTAGTGTTTCCACCTGCATAATGTTGTAAAAGAATTAATTTTAAAAAAGAAAAGGAAATGTAAAATCAAAGTCTTCCAGCCAGATTATAAGTACCCACTCTTAGAAGACTCTCTATAAAGATGTAACTGGATAAAAATGATTATGATCTTACTGCATCTCAAGAAAGAAGTAGGCCTCTAAAGAAAGGAAGGAAATCTTATACTGTTTACTTAAAATATCCCATTCTTACAGACTGATAGTGGGGCAATCTGATGTTTTTAGTAATGTAATGCCTTCTGCAAGAGCTGAAATATAGTGCATTAAATTTTAATTCATCACATTTTTGTTAGAGATTTAATTTTATTACCATTGATGATTTATTATTGTTTGTTTTTTAACTTGAACTAAAAATGCCTAGTAGAAACTTCCTCTAACCCCATTCTGTCACAGTAAATTGAGAACACCATTACCTGCATGTTTCATGTGAATTATTACTTGGTTAAACCCTGTGATCAATTTCTTTATAAATAAACTTCCTGTGATCAATTTCTCTCTAAACGTCCTCCCCTATCTTACCTTTTAAACCATATCCACCTGTTCTTTTCCATTCTTTTTCTTTTTTTAATTGGAATATATTTGACATACAACATTGTGTAAAGTGTAATATGATTGCCATTGTAGCAATAGTTAGCCCCTCTATCTCTTTATGTAATTGCCATTTCTTTTTAGTGGTTGGAATAATTAAGTTCTAGTCTCCCTGCAAGTTTGATGACTCGTACAACACTTCTGTCTGTATTCACCAGCTTGGGCATTAGATCTCTATGGCTTATTTACTACTTGTGGCAAATTGTGCCCTTGAACAATGTCTGTCCTCCCCCTCACATCCTTCTTTCCCTGTTTTTGAAATATTTGAGACTTGATCACAAAAAACAAAACAACAAAAGTAGAAAGACGGTATAATAGAGCCCACATACTCATCACCCAGCTTGAATAACCTACCACAGCCAGTTTTATTTCTCCTGTGTTTCTCCCCACAAAAGATCAAACAATTGGCATTGATATGTGTATTTTGCCTATAGAATCATGTAATGTCAGGGCTGGAAAGACTACCTTACCCCCAAATTCATTTTTCTGATGAGAAAACTGAAGACCAGAAAGAAGGGTCCAGCTGTGCCCTCAGTCACACATAAGTTAGCAAAGGAAGTGGGGGGATGGCGCAGCCAGACCTCGCCTCACAGGGCATGCTGCCTCCTGGGCTTCTCGTACTTGACTTAAAACATTGGGACACATGCTCTTGCTAACCTCGTTTAGTTTTTTCTTCACATAATTCATGCATGAATCCATTACACCCATCCCGTCCCCCTCTTTGGGAGCAAAGCTGCAGTCAGCACCCATGAGCAGAGAGAGTAAGACAAGAAAACAATGGCTGTTACTGTTCAATCCCACCTCCACAAACATGAGTACACTTAACACTTCTTAAAAGAAAAACAGCTGACTTTTGAAATATAAAATCAAATTATGGAACTTAAAATTCCCTCTCAAATTCTGTGTGGGTAAAATTGTAGTATTTCCAGAATCTCTTGCCTGGCTTTAGTGCATCTCCATATCAGCAGGCATTCCTAAGGGGTGAAGAGTGATGGTTCATTTCCATATCAATGGGTAATTACCTGGGCGATTGAGGGCTTATCTGAATCTGAGAGGTTGGGGGGATTCACTTGCTTCTGCGGGAGCAGGAGAGAGATGGCCCCCGGACTGCTGTTTGTAAGCAATAAACGGGTTCTAGACTTTATTTCTCCTTTCAACTAATTTCGGTGTCAGCTAGGCATTTTGCCCCAGGATTTCCTCTCTCCAGAGTTACATTCTGTTAGGAAGGATGATCCTCCTTTGACCCTTGTTTTAAGCCAGTGTTTTCAGTATTTACTGGGGGTTTTTGTAAGGAGTTTATGAAGGCTCTAAGTAACCATTTGATGGCCTCTCTGAGCAAAACCTATTTCCCATGAATTTGGGCCTCTTTTTCTTCCATTTTATAGAGACACATTCATATGTTTCATCCTGTAGTTTTAAAGCATTCACTGGCTTCCTACTTCAGGCTGGCACTCTAGCAGGTGACAGTGGACTGAATGATTCTGCTTCTCGCCCTCCAGAGCTGTACGATCCAGCGGGGAGCAGACAAGGACACAGCGGACCTTAGAGCCTGGGGCTGAGCCCAGCGCGGGAGGGGGACTCAACACTGTGGGCAGCTCGGGAGGGCACTGGAGTGGGAGCAATCCCCCCATTCACCACCAAGGGGCCCATCAGCTGCCCTGTGGTGAACTTCCCTTAAATCATCAGTTGTTAAAATATGGAAAAGACACACTGTCCAGCAGCATGGAGATCTGCCATCTTACAGTGTGGTGCTGGAATGAAGAGGAGAGCAGTACAGAGAAAGAATATACATTGCAAAGAGCAAAAGTAACCATCAAAAAAACAAAAAAGGTACAGCAAAAGAAGGACAAAAGGCCACCAGATTTAAAAAATAACAAATGTTTTGACCTTGTAGAGAAAGCCGGCAGGCAGCTCCTGAGAGGCCTCGTTTGCAGGAGTGGTGGCCGCCGTCTGGGAGTCCCCGTCTGCCCTCTGCTCTGTGGCCGGCTCGGGTGTGTCGCCGCTGGGGCCCGGGAGAGCTGCATCGTCGGTCACCTCCTTAGGCTCTGCACCTACAGATATTTCGTGTTCTCCCTCCCCTTCGTTGTTGGAGGCCGGCTGTATGACGACAGAAGGGATGACCTTCTCCTGGGGAAGGAAAGGGTGAGGGTGCTGAGCAGGGCTGGGAAAGACTGCTCCCCTGGTGCACCCTCCATGGCTTCCACCTTCCCCACCTCCCCTATTCACAGAAATGCCTGCTCTTCCCCAAACCTGGCTCAGGATTCCTGGCCTTCGGACCTCCCACTTCCTGACATGGCCTTCTTTCTCTCCTGAGATAGAAACCCTTAGTGGGATTAATTTCTGGATCCTTGAACAATCATGCAGTTTGGCAAGAGGGAGATGTCCATGGAAATGGGAAAGAGTAGGAAACTGCAGGAGCTGGGGGAATCATGCCTGGGTAGGGGAGGGAATCCTGAAGCGGAATGTAGTCCGATTCCAAGGATGGTATCATTTTACAGTGGTCCATTCTGGTCTCATCTGGTGGTAACACTGGCTTGAGGCTGATATTTTACCTCCTGCAGCTGCTCTTCTCCCAGAGGAAAGACCTGGCTTGTGCATGGAGATAAACCACCTGCCTTTGCAATGGATTTCCATTTGGAGCCTACACTACCACTACAGTTTAAGGGATGACAATTCCCACCAACCCTTCAAGTACTCTATTGTCTAAGGGAAAGCAGAACCAAAGGATCAATTCTCCCTTGTATTTTTTATGAAAGATGAACAAGGAGGGGAATTTCGCTAGCATTATGGCAGTCTGGAGATGTTTACAGCCTTTCAGGTATATTACCTCCGGTATCAGTGGATATCAGCACTTCCATTCTTCAATTTGCATAAAATAATACACTCTTTCAATTAAGTATAACAACATATACAAAATTACTCCTGGCATAGTGACAAGAAAATCTCATGAAAAAAATGGAATATACTTTTGAGTCATTTCTCCAAATACCAATAGGACCTGCTGTTTTTCTAGTGAGATTAAAGGGATAATTTAGTTTCAAGTTTTGAGTAACCTTGGAGAGAATTTTGGAAATTTATTATGAGTAATCAGGAAAAAGGAAAGCAAAACTTTAAGCCCACTCTTACCTTCTAGAATACAGAACTATGCATAGGGTTTAGAAGCTGCCCTTGCTGTGGTGCCCGGGTTTGAGGACCCCACATCATGGAATACACGGATTCAATGCCTTTGAACACTTTCCTGGGGAAGGGGCTAACTCCAAGTTCACGTATGTACTTAATGACCCATTTTCCTTTTGAAAGTGCCACACAGAGACGGGCTTCTAGGGAAAGGAGCTGAATGGTGCATTTGCCGACCACACAATGCTGACACCAGTACCATGATGTACCTGCCACCCCGGTTCTCACCAAGGGCCGGGCTCTGGCTAAGTAAGCACTGCTGGCTGTGAACCCATGCAACAGCCCATTACTCTGTCCTGTTCTCCTCCTGCTCTCTCCATTCTCACCCTCTTCCCTGTAACTTATGGCGGTTTCCTTTTCCCTGTCTGAGCCTAAGCACCCAGGGCTGAGCAGAAGCTCGCAAGGCTCATGTGGAGAGAACGCCAGGGCCACCCTTTCCGAGAATATAATACATTATTTTTTTTGCGCAGTGGGTACCACAAAATGGCTAAGACCTACTCCGCACCCAAAAGCGTTATCACTGCTCACCAGCGAGTGGGGCACCCTGGGGCCCCCGTCAAGCCGCCCCTTCGCTCAGACACTCACCTGCGGCGCTGCGGCTTCGGTTTCCTTCTCCTCCTGGGACCCGTCCCCGTCTCCAGCCTCTGCGGCGTCAGCCTCCGTCCAGGCCTCCTCTAACCCAGCTCCTCCCGCTGGGGGAAGGGCCGCCTTGTCGGCCTCTGTCTCCTCCGCCGGGGCCGCCTCGGCCGGGGTGCCGGCAGCCCCCTCGGCGGCGGCTCCGGCTGTGGTCTGGAAGCCAGAAACCAAACAGGCCGCGGCTGTAGCCCGAGGAGCCTCAGCGAGGGTCGGTCCCAGCCCAGGCCCGTCTCTCCCCGCTGCTGAGGCTCCTCGGTTAAACTGAGCAGAGCCTGCCATGTGTTCGTCAGAACTCTGACCTCTCTTCCTCCCGGGCACCCAAAACGCCACATCCCTCAGCTTTCCCTGCAGTTAGGGACACCAGACAGGATCAGAGTGCAAGTGGCCTGTGCCATCCGTCAGGGCTTTTCAGGCGGAAGTGAATCCCTCTACAAGCTATTTCTACTTCGGTTGCTTGAAACAAGGATGGCTAAGGGTAGCTGGGTCACAAAATGCACAGGGCTCGCCCCCATACCTGGGTCGTGGTAAGAAAAGCATCTCCATCACACAAAGCTAGAATTTAGAAAAACTAGATTTCAGTATAAACTTTAAAATGTTCATGGGGAAGGTTCCAGAGGCTAAATCACGCTCACAGAGGTAAAAAAAAAAAAAAAAAAGTAGACTTCTTAAGAATGAAGGGAAAAGCATTTTTGTTATCAAGTATGCATATAATTAAAAATCAGATCAGATTTTGGGTCCTTTTCTGGGAGAAGTGAACTAGAAAAATATGAGAACTTTTTTTCTAAGGTTGGGCACAGTCAAAAGAAGAGCTTAAAGTGGTATTTAAAGCTTGCAATAATGAAATAAGAAAGTGCAATCAGATGTGGTAGTTTGAACAAATTGGTTACGGAGTACAAGGCTTTAACAAGGCTCTAACATTGCTTGGCAGACCTGATCTGAGCAGCTCACATCAGAAACACTGAGGACAAAGCAGAATATTACATTTCTCTTATAGAATATACCCAGGACACGTGTTTCAAAAACTGATGTTGCTATCCAATGTGATTAGCATTAGCTATGCCTTTTCTTTATTGAATACATTCTACTCAGTTTGCCCTATTAGGAAAGTTCTAATGTTGCAGATACTGTCAAACCCAGAAAACTGAAGTGAGCAGTGGAAAATGCCTGCAGCAAGGGCATCACAAATGGGAGACAGAGAACGTGAACCACACACCTATAACTGTGGCAAAGCATTTTCTGAAAACCTTCCTTTTCACTCAAATGTACAGGTAATAGATTAAATAGAAATAACCTGCTGCAGAATATATTTTTCTACGACATGCTGTTTTTACTTTGGGATGAAAAATAATGCAACCAGCTGTACTGTTTGTTACATGGCCAAGTATTACTCATATTCTTAGAAATGTACTTCCTTCTCTTATTTGCTCCCTTCTCTATCTCAGGAGGATCGCCCATTATGAGAATCTGGCTCTCCATGCAAAGTGTGCAATGATCCAAAATGTTATTATGAGCCACCACATAGCATTAATTTTTTTTTCCTACCCTGTCTTTAAGGTATATGGGTTCAGCAAAGTAATGTCACATGAATTAAAGTATCCTTATTTAAAGTGAATTAATATGCTGATATTTATATTTTATACAGGTATAGGGGGATTTATATTTTGGTGAGTGAATGAAAATTCCAAAATAATAAGTTTATTTAAAAATTTAAGAAAATTGCATCTTTTGTTGTAAATAGACACTGGCTTTTTTATGGATGTTATTGTTGCTGTTACCAAGAGAGTAACAATGGGAACATAAATTAGAAGGGCATTTTAATTTCAGGAAGAACAGTGGACAATTGCTCATAGCTGTACTGTTGGAGAAATCAACAAGCTTTCTCCAGGATCTTAAGGACCTAAGAACATTTCTTCCATTAGCAACTGTACATGAAGACAATGTGCATACAATGGACTTAAGAACTCAAATGTATAAAGCAAGTTGTGTTGTCATAATTCTAAGTTACTTATGCTTTCCATCATCTGTCTGGAAAATCACACCTATGGAGCAAATATCCTTTTGGGTTCAACAGCTGAACCAGATGGACTCTTCTTTCATGTAGACAGTATGGAAAAACATGCATGCCTATACACATATACATATTGTTTCAGGTTCAAAAGCAGCCATATTATTTGAGAGGCTACTCCTCCAAGGGTTTATACATAAATCTTTACATACATGTGTTTTCCAAGCACATACTATTAGTGACTGGATTTTACTTTCAAGTGAATTATATATTTCTGTGAAGTACTGATGGTATTGCCAACAGTAACTTTAACTCTCCATAGAAACGAGATGTTAATAATGAGTCCCTACAGTGACTGTGAACAGGGATGTGAGGGGGACTTGGTGAAGGGGGGAGCCTAGTAAACTTAATGTCCTTCATGTAATTGTAGATTAATGATACCAAAATAAAATAAAAAAAAATGAGTCCCTAATGTATCTCTAGCACTTTATATGCCTGTCAATTTGATTTTTTCAGATTTTGCTATTACAAGATATACCTGTTATCACCTGGCCTATGCTAAAATAATTTAAACAGGCATCACCTGTGGGATCTGATTTCGACCTGACAGTGTGGCTGCTGTGATACTGGCCACCAGCAGGTGGAGGCCAAGGGCTCTGTCTGTCCTCGCTCTGCAAGGTTCGCTGCCCTTGAAGGAGGAAATACCCCAGCTTTAGCACGTCAGAAATTTCCCTGATCACTGTCACACACAAAAAAGGGACAGAGCATGGAGAAAATTGTTGATAAGAATGACGGCAAATAAAAATCACAATTCTAGTAAAAAATTAACAATGCTACTGACAAGAAAACAGGCACTTAACTATAAAGAGGAAAAGACAAACACCTTCAATGACCTACATGGGAAAGAGAAGAAATTAACACTCCTCTATTCTTCTCCGAGTCCATTAGTAATGAATTTCTATTCCTCTAGGCAAAATTAACATTAATTTTATAGACCTTAACAACATTACAGAAACAGAGAAGGGCTGTCCTCTACCTGTATTTTCTCATATCTTTCTGCCTCTGGCAGTGCTCTGAAAATCAAGAGTGCCTCTATCCTCCTTTATGTCTGGACTCTTCCACATTTTCTGCCTCCACAATCCCTTTGGAGGGAAGCCATATGGTCACGGTATTCAGGTCAGAGCCCTTTCAAACACCTAACTGCATTCACAAAATTTTCTGCAAGTGGATGAAAAGAATGCAGTGCATGAACGGCCTCAGTATCCTGTAGAGCCAGGAAGCACAGCTGAGTGGCAGATGCTCACCAGTCCGTTCTGGAGATGGTGGTGTGAAAGGTGAACAGGAAGGACTCAGACACAGGCAAGCAAATGCGAGTGCACTGCAGGGGAATTTGTATACTTCATTGGCTTATTTATTCATTGTTGTTTTCTTGACAATATTAGTTCTGAACAATGCCTGAAAAGCAGTTTACCAATTGTGTAACTGGTCTAAATGAGGACACTTAAAGAGAATCCCTACTGTGGAATTTCACACTTAGCTATAAGGTAGGTTATTTTAATTGAAAATAGGTATTCCTCTTATTAAAAAATAATGAGCACTAGGAGTTAAAAAATAATGAAGTGATGTATTTTGATTTTCTGTGCCTACAGGGGCTTTTTCTATTTTACAACATGTGGATCATATTTCTTGGAAAAATTACATTAATTGCTATATAATACTTTACTATTTTTCATATGTAACAATTTGTTTAACAGTTCTATCATCAAACACTAGTTGGTTTCTAATTTTTAATGTTATAATACTGTGAGAAAGACCTTGGCTTGTAACCAGCAGTAATTTAGGCTATACATTTAAATTATTTAAATACAAAGCACTGCTCCCTTTGTCTATTTATGATCTTTATTGAGGACTTTCTTGGGGGGGTTTGCCCAATATTTTATTATGAGAAAAAGTCAACATAGAGAAAATTAAAAGAATCACACAGTGAATGTCCAAGTACCCACCACTTACGATCTTAATTTCCACGTCGCTGCATTTGTTTTATCACAGGTCTTTCAGTCTATCCACAGTGATTTTGATTCATCTTTCAGTTAATCACAGCATATCTTCATAAAATTTAAGAATTCTGTGGTGACATTTTGGCCCTTCCAGATTTGATAATGTCTTTCTAATGCTTTCATACATGACCAAGTACTGTCTTGAAGTAGAATTGCTACAATGCACTTTTTTTGTGCTCAAAATCTGTATGTTCTTCTAACAGCTTCTGACCATTAGTATTGGGAAGGATGAGTCCAAGGCCTGCTGCCTACTTGTTCTTTTGTGAAGGTTTTCCCCAATCTAGATGCTCGCAGAACTTCTGTGTATGCTTCGAATTTAAAATTTTTAAAGGATACATTTACATGCTAGTAGTCTCTTAGTAACTTTGCCTTTCTAAAGCAATTTCTTATGATCTGCATGTAGGAATTCCTTTGTCAGGGATCCTTTGTCTAGGAAAACTTCAGCTCAAACATGTTCTCTTCTGTTATACTGGCTATAAAATGTCTCGATTCCATTCTTTAAAGCCTCTGATAGGAACAATTATCCGTGAGTTGTACCTCCTGTCTTTGGCCCCCACATCTACCACCTTTGCCTGGGAATGTCTTTCTTGTGTTGGGAGAACTCCAATATGTCCTCATGTCAGGAAATAATTCTCTACACCACTTCTTTACCAGTTCTTACACACATTTTAATTCTAATAGTACACCATCGAACTGCTTTTTAATCTGCCTCATAAGCAACTTTTTTTTATCTCAATGTGGTTGCCTTATCATCTCATCTTTCATTTGTTGTTTCACATAATTTATATTATCTTGATTTTACGGACAACAAAAGGAAGACACTTCCAAATTTTTCCTTTGAGATGTTGATAAGTTTTTTTGTTCTCTAAAGAAAAATCAAACTGTATCTTTGATGCAATCCTTACCTTCTTTTTTGTTGCTTTATATATAGGCCCTATGCTGTCTCTAAAAATGTGTTTATTTGTTTAGTTATTTAAAATTAGGTGAAGTCTATCTAGGCCTGATGTTTCCAGTAGACATGGAAACATTTTCTGTGCCCCATTTCACTCTTCACTTAGGGGAACTCAGCTGTCTTTTTCAGAACAGGGGCT